GGAAGGGACGGATAGAAAGAGAGAAGGGAGAAAGATCCTTCAAGGAGGGAGTGATCACCTCTGTGAGAGGTTCAACAAAATGACTGTTGGCTGCACGGTGAGGAAGCAGTGCTAGGTGCAGTTGTGCTCGAAGCTGGACGACCGTGAAACAAATATTCTTTCTTTTCAGTCCTCTTCATGACTGTCCTTGTAAGCTTCAGGCTGAAAATGCAGGAGGGCAAAAGCTTGGAGAGAAAGGATCCTAAGGTGGAGGGAGGGGCTCTTTGAGTATCGTACGATCTCGTCCAGGGCTAATGTCATTGTTGTTTCTGCTGAGCCTGGGATTGGATTGAGACCTCCCAGAGAGAGACAACAAATAAAACGTCTGAAAAAAAGCGTTCCGGAGCAGGAAAATTCATAATGAAGAAAACGCACTGACAGCTTATCTAAAAATCATGCTTTGGACTTAGACGAGAGCGAGGGGAGCAGTGTGATACCTTCCTCAGAACTGGTAGCTGCAGCGGTGAAGAGGGAACCCAATAGACACAGAGAAACACCCAAAGCCTAAAGGAAGGAAGCTCCGCCTGAGACAGGACGACTTCCTCTGGCTCCGCCTCTCTCCTCCAGCCTATAAGGATCCAGAGAACTGGAGGCGGCGCTGGGGCAGGGAGGAGGGCGGAGCCCAAGGACCGTTAATCCTCCAGAGAGGTCGCATCTACTTAAGGGCTTGAGTCCCTTAAGGACTCACAGTTGCTGCTCATTGCAAAGCTTGGGTGGGTGTATAGCTATTTTGGAAAAAGGTCTGGCAGAGTCATATAAAACTGAATATTACACCTACTCAACGACCCAGAATTTCTTACCTAGATATGTATTCAAAAGAAATTAAAGCCTAAACGTGTAGTGCATGCCTGAAATGCCAGCAACTAGGGAGGCTGAGGTAGGAGATTGAAAGTTGGAGGCCAGGCTCAGTAACTTAGAGAGACCCAATCTCAAAATAAAATATACAAAGTATTGGAGATATAACTCAATGGCAAAGGGACCCCAGTACAAAAGAAAAAGGAAAAAAAAAGTTTATAAAAGTCAAAAGAAAAAATGTTATAGGAAAACTTGTGTGGAACTCTCAAGAGCCTCTGTAGAAGCAGGCTGTGGTACTACAGAGGAGGAAAGAGTTGACTGCGAATGCGGTAGGCCTATTTGAGCAGAAGGTAGTGGGAAGAACAAACAGCCTTTTCAAGCCGACTTGGGTTCAAAACTCTCACTTTCTGTGAGACTGTATTCGTTTCTTATCACTACTGTTTCTTTCTTTCTTTTTTTTTTTTTTTAAGAGAGAGGTATTTATTTATTTATTTATTTTTGTTTGTATGTGGTGCTGAAGATCGAACCCGGGCCGCACGCAAACCAGGCGAGCGCGCTACCGCTTGAGCCACATCCCCAGCCCACTACTGTTTCTTTAAAGAATTACTATAGGGCTATAGGGATGGGGGTATAGCTCAGTTGGTAGAGTGCTTGCCTTGCATGCACAAAGCACCACAAAAAAAAAAAAAAGAGGGAGAGAATTACTATAACCCAGGTGCGGTGGAAGGCCTGTGATCCCAGCAGCTCAGCAGGGCAAGAGCAAGGCGCTAAGCAACTCAGTGAGACCCTGTCTCCAAATAAAATACAAAATAGGGCTGGGGATGTGGCTCAGTGGTCGAGTACCCTGAGTTCAATCCCAGGTACCAAAAAAACAAAGAATTACTATGTAGCCAAGTGCGATGGTGCACACTTGTAAAACCTAAAAGCTCAGGAAGCTGAGGCAGGAGGATGGCAAGTTCAAAGCCAGCTCTCAGCAATTTAGAGAGGCCCTAATCAATTAGGTAAGACCCTGTCTCAAAATAAAATATAAATATAAAAGGGCTGGGGGGTGGCTTAATGGTTAAGCACCCCTGGGTTTAATTTCTGGTAAATTCCAGAAGAAAGAAGGAGAAGAAATGTTTTTTAAACTGGGGATTGAACCCAAGAGTACTTTACTATTGGGCTATATCCCCAGTCCTTTTTATTTTTGAGACAGAGACTCATTAAATTGCTTAGGGCCTTGCTTAGTTGCTGAGGCTGGCCTTGAACTTGTTATCCTCCTGCCTTAGCCTCTGGAGCTAAGAGGCTAAGGCATCGCAGGTGCTATTTCCTCTATTTTCAAAGCCAGCAGTAACAGTAACATATCTCTCTCTGCCTTCCTCCCTCCCTCCCTCCCTCCTTGGTCTTCTTCCTTTGTCAAATCTCTGGTTGTCCAGAATAATCCCCATATCTCAATTTCACTTTCTGGTGCTGGGGATTCAGCCCAGGGCCTGGATCATGCTAGTCAGTCACTCTACCACTGAACTACATCCCCAGCCCTTTTAATTTTATTTTGAGACAGGGTCCCACCTAGTTGCCCAAGCTGGCTGGGAAATTGCAATCCTCCTGTGATCACCTTTGGAGTTGGTAGAAATATAGACATGGGCCACCATGCTGGACTCAAAATTATTAGCCACATCTGTAAATTTATTTACTTATACATAAAACCTATGTTGGGCTGGCGTTGTGGCTCAATGGTAGTGCGCTTGCCTAGCAAGCCCAAGGCCCTGGGTTCCATCCTCAGCACCACATAAAAACAAGTAAAGAGGGGCTGGGGATGTGGCTCAAGCAGTAGCGCGCTCGCCTGGCGTGTGTGTGGCCCGGTTCGATCCTCAGCACCACATACCAACAAAGATGTTGTGTCAGCCAAAAGCTAAAATGAATATTAAAAAAATTCTCTCTCTCTCTCTTTCTCTCTCTCTCTCTCTTAAAAAAAAAAAAGTAAAGGTATTGTGTCCAACTACAACTAAAAAATAAATATTAAAAAAAATAAAACCTATGTCACAGGTACTCGATATGTCAAGAAAACACTGATGAAGAAAATTTTCTAAAAGTTTTGTTAGCTAGGTGTGGTAGTGTTTGCCTGTACTCCAGCAATTTGGGAAGCTGAGGCAGGAAAATCATAAGTTCAAGGCCAGCCTCAGGAAATTAGTGAGGCCCTAGGTAATTTATGGAGACTCTTTCTCAAAATTAAAAGGGGGGTGGGCTGGAAATGTAGCTCAGTAGTAAAGCACCAGCAGTTTCAATCCCCAGTACCAAAAATAGAAAATTTTTAAAAAAAATTTATTATTTTAAGTTTTATTAGGAGCCAGGCACAAGCATAATAATGTGCACCTATAGTCCCAGCTACTAGGGGGCTGAGGGCAGAAGAATGGCTTGAGCTCAGGAGTTTGAGGTTAACATAGCAAGGCCCTGTATCAGAAAAGAAAAAAAAAAAAAAGCGCTGGGGCTATAGCTCAGTTGGTAGAGTGCTCGCCTTGCATGCACAAGGCCCTGGGTTCGATCTCCAGCACCTCCACCAAAATAGAAGAAGAAAGAAAGAAAAAGAAAAAAAAAAAAAAGTAGCCTGGTGCGGTGACAGTGGCACATGCCCATCATCCCAGCAGCTCGGGAGGCTGAGGCAGGAGGATCACCAGTTCAAAGCCAGCCTAAGCAACAGCAAGGCACTAAGCAACTCATTGAGACCCTGTCTCTAAATAAAATACAAAAAATAGGGATGATTGTGGCTCAGTGGTCTAGTGCCCTAAGTTCAAACCCTAGTACCAAAAAAGGAAGAAAAGAAAAGTGCTGGCGAATACCTATAATCCTGGCAGCTCCGGAGGATGAGGCAGTAGGAACAGAAATTCAAACCTCAGCAATTTAGCAATTTAGCAATTTAGTGAGGCCCTAGGCTACTCAGTGGGAACTCTGTTTCAAAATTAAAAGGAAAAAAAAATGGCTGGGGTTAAGTACCCTGGATTCAACCACACACACACACACACACACACACACAGAAAGAAATATGGGAGCTATCATTATCTGTAAAGTGATGTGGTTGTACTCACCCGTAAAAATCTTTTAGCTTGTCATTCCAAGTTTTGACGAGGCAAAAACGAGAATGAGAATTTAAAAACAAATTCTCAGAGCATCCAGTATAACAAGAGGTTTAAGAATCCCCTGAAGGGCTGGGGTTGTGGCTCAGCGGTAGTGCATGTGCCTGGCAAATGTGAGGCACTGGGTTCAATTCTCAGCACTGCATATAAATAAGTAAAATAAAGGTCTATCAATAACTAAAAAAAAAAAAATCCCCTGAAGAGTCAGGCTCAGTGGCACACGCCTGTAATCCCATGGGCTCTGAAGGATCACGAATTCAAAAACCAACCTCAGCAAAAGCAACTCTGTGAGAGTTTCTCTCTCTAAGCAAAATACAAAACAGGGCTGGGGATGTGGCTCAGTGATTGAGTGCCCATGAATTCAATCCCCAGTACCCCTCCCCTCCGCCCCCCCACCAAAAAAAAGAATTCCCTGAAGCCTGGGAATCCTTCCTTTTCTTACACCCTTTTGACACCTGGCACAGGTTTCAGAGTTCCTTTCCTATGGGCATCAGCAGGGAGGGAAAGACAAATGACACAAAAAAAAAAAAAAAAAAAAAGATTCTTAAAAGGGCAGAGAAGGGTGAAGAGTGTTGTGGGGCAGGATAGGGGACTTGGTAAGCCATGGGGTGATTTACTCGGAAGTGAACAATGGTACTGAGTGGAAACAGAGTGAGCCGCAGCGTGTGAGCTAGAGGGAAGAGGGAGGGTGTTGATAGAATAATTCTCAAAACTTCAAAGTTGCATTGTGAGACTAGAGCAGAAGTTCAAGCCAATCAAAGCAGCCAATCAAAGCAGTTTCTGTCTCCTTACACCACGCTCAATCATATACCGGAGGAAGTAGACTGGGGTATCACAAATAACTTTCCTCGGGTGTGCGATTGAGAAGACCCAAGCTTCTGGAAGTGGGAACCAACGAAAGCCCCGCCCCCATGGGCACGCCCACGCTGTTGATTGGCTGAAGGATTTAAAGACCCGACTTGTCATAGGTTGATTTTTCTATCCCAAGTATTTGAAAGTTCCTAGTTTGTCGCCTGTCTGCCGGTTTATTGTTGCGACTGCCCGCACAAGTGAGTTCCTGCTCGACCTTTGAAATGGGAGGCAGAGAATCTGGTTCTTGTAGGGGTCCCCGTCGGGAAGGTACAGATGAGTGGGTCAGACGGAGGGAGCACGGTTTCCGGGTTTTCCGGGACCCCGGGATTTACCTGTGAATTCCTTTGCCAAATATTTTCCACCCCACCCCCACCTTGGAGGTGGGAAACTCCGGGCATTAGAATCACACTGACCGTGAGACCTACTAGTAGTGGGGTTTTATCAAGGGCAAAAAAGTTTGTCTCTCCCAGTCTGTTTTCACTTCTGTAATAGAGACCTGCCTGGCTACCCATAAACCTAACTTGGAAAACAGAAGGCGCACATTTCATGTAAGTCCCCTTCCCATCTCCACACTTGAGACTCCCTTGATTTTCCGAGAGAGGACCATGACGATTACCGTGCTGGTTCTGGGTCTCAAAGCAAAGCAGGCCTTTTTGTCTCATCCTCCTCCGCCGCCCATGCCCCCATGAAATGCGGGGTCCTAGCAGGACAACCGAGGTTTCTCAGTTTCTGATACTTTTGACGCTGCCCCTAGCGTGTATTTCTAGAGTGGGCTTTCGATTAGCCCCAGGGACCTTTTACCGTTTCTAGTGACTTCTTTGTGTTACCAGTGAGAATGTCCATGACCCTGTGTGACAGGGTTCCGGGTTACGGACTCTACCACCTATTATATCCTGAATCTCTGTGACCTCTATGCTCCGGTCTCTTCGCAGACTTGCAGAGGTGGTAGCAATGCTCTCGAGCACCCAGGTGGCGGCAGCGGAAGGTGACCAAGCGGACCTGCGGTGCCGTGTGGCGGTGGAGGAGCTGAGCCCAGGAGGGCAGCCACGGAAACGCCAGACCTTACGCACTGCGGAGCTGAGTCTGGGTCGAAACGAGCGCCGTGAGTTGATGCTGCGGCTGCAGGCTCCGGGACCAGCCGGGCAGCCGCGCTGCTTCCCCCTGCGCGCCGCGCGTCTCTTCACACGGTTCGCCGCGTCGGGGCGCAGTACGTTGAGGCTCCCAGCAGACGCCGTTCCCCGGGCGGGCGCCGTGCAGCTGCTGCTCTCCGACTGCCCCCCAGACCGCCTGCGGCGTTTCTTGCGCATGCTGCGTCTGAAGCTGGCTGCGGACCCAGGTCCCGGGCCTGCCTCCGCCCGCGCGAAGCTGCTCAACCCTCGCCCCCGCGACTTCGTCACCATCAGCCCAGTGCAGCCGGAGGAGCTGCGGCGTGTGGCAGCAACCCGGATTCTGGACACCACGCTGGCCAAGCAGCCGATGGAACCCGGGACTGGAGCCAAGCCCAGCATGGTGAGATCGGAAGAATGGGCACGTCTTTGGGATTGGGTATGCTTAATCATTAGGATGGAAGAGACCAAGGAGGCCCAAGTGTGGGGGACTAGACTGTGGCGATATTCAGGGAACAGCTGTGAGCTCAGAGATGCCATAGATCATGGAGTATGACAGGGTCGTTGGACTCTTCTGTGCTTCCCATATATAAGCCCTGAACCTGAATAAGCAAGAACAGGTAATGAGAGTCCAGATAAGAGAACACCAGAAAAGGCGATTTAAGAAGGCAAAGTAGGGGGCTCAGCGGTAGAGCGCTCGTCTAGCATGAGCGAGGCACTGGGTTCGATCCTCAGCACCACATTAAAAAACAAATAAATAAAATAAAGGTACTGTGTCCAATACAGCTTTAAAAAAAATGGAAGGCAAAGTAAATTTAAAAAGAAAAAGAAGAAGGCAAAATAGACCAACGCCTATAATCCCAGCAGTTCTGGAGGCTGAGGCAGGAGGATTGTGAGTACAAAGCCAACCCCAGCAATTTAGCAAGGTCCAAAGTAACTTAGCAAGACCCTGTCTCAAAATAAAACATATTTAAAAGTGGGGGCGGGGGGGCTGAGGATGTGGCTCAGTGATTAAGCATCTGTGGGTTCAAATCCCTTGTACACACATACACACAAAAAAAAGGAAAATTAGGAGTATATTAATGTATTTGGGGAGAAGTGAAGCAGTCAGCAGTATCTGGACAGTCAACATTCCCATCAAATGAGGGAAACATGTCTGATGGTCTGACAACCGTTTTTGGACTGGGGCAGGTTGGTTGCTGACCACAGGGTTTTGAGACTAAGCTGGCGAGAAGCTAGAGATGGAACAAGAAGGGGCCTTAGTTGGGCAGGGTTATGTTGGATATTTTGAGGTGAGAATTTTGGAATAGGAGGAGAAGTGAGAAGAAAAGTTGGGTGAGAGAAGCAGCAAGGTGAAGGAACCCAGAGGAGGAAGCTGAAGGAGGATCCAGACCCATACACTGGGGATCTTCAGGGCACGAGGAGAGACCCAGTAGTTACTGGCAAGATCTCCAGGTGAACCAGAGCTGTCCTAGGGTACCAGGGAGTGAAGCCAACCAAGGGAGAAAGCCAACAGTCTGTATTGAACACAGATCAAGAAGGGTGGTAGTAATGTCTGGGGAGGTGGGAGGAGGCTCTGAGACAGCCCTGTCTCCACCAGGAAGCCCCAAGGTGGCCTTTGCCTGTGAAGAAGCTGAGCTTGCTCCCCACCAAGACACAGCTTTCTGAGGAACAGGCTGCAGTGCTGAAGGTTGTCCTAAAAGGCCAGAGCATTTTCTTCACTGGGAGCGCAGGTAGCAGGGGCAGAGTAGGGGTGGAGGGGACAGTGGTGGGGGTGGGGTAGGATGGAAGAACAGGCAGCCCTGACTTTGCCTCCTGTCAAGGGACTGGGAAGTCATATCTGCTGAAGCGGATCCTGGGCTCACTGCCCCCCACAGGCACAGTGGCCACTGCTAGCACTGGGGTGGCAGCCTGCCACATTGGGGGCACTACCCTCCATGCTTTTGCAGGTAAGTGGGAACCCCTGGGGCTTGAGATAAGAGCAAGTCAGACCTCTGGGGTGGAGGGAAAGGAGGGCAGCATTGTTGGGGGCTGGGGTCTCAGTTCAGGCTGAGTAGTTTCATTCACAGGCATCGGCTCAGGCAAGGCTCCCCTGGCCCAGTGTGTGGCTCTGGCACAGCGGCCGGGCGTGCGGCAGGCCTGGCTGAACTGCCAGAGGCTGATCATTGACGAGATCTCCATGGTGGAGGCAGACTTGTTTGATAAGCTGGAGGCTGTGGCCAGGTTAGTATATATGGTGAGGGTAGTAACTGAGGCCAGAACCTGGTTATTTCCCAAGTGGAACTGTCTACTTAGCTTTTTTAAAGCACTACCTGCTCCCCTCCAGAGCTGTCCGCCAGCAGAACAAGCCCTTTGGAGGGATCCAGCTCATTATCTGTGGGGACTTCCTGCAGTTGCCACCAGTGACCAAGGGCTCCCAACTCCCTCAGTTCTGCTTCCAGGTACCAGTCACCCCCTGGCCCTGCCCCCCTGGAGTGGTTAGCTGTGTTCCCTGACCCACCCCCACCCTGACCCCAAACAGGCCAAGAGCTGGAAGAGATGTGTGCCAGTGACCCTGGAGCTGACTGAAGTGTGGAGGCAGGCGGACAAGACCTTCATCTCTCTGTTGCAGGCTGTGAGGCTGGGCAGGTAGGCCCTGGCAGGTAGAGAAGGGACCATGGGGTGAGGAACCAAGCACAGTGACCCAGGGTAGGGGGAGAGATGCCTGTTCTCAGGAGTAAGTAGTCCACTAAAAGAGGAGTTTTAGGCAGGACACTGGTCAACTCAGGACAAATGGCAGTCGATGACTCCAAAAACATGGTCCCTGCAAGTGGTGGGACCCAGCCTCCCTTGGATTTGAATTCCTATCACCCAGCACAAAGGCTGGCATAGAGTAGGTATCAAGAAAGAAAAAAGGATGGACAGATGGACATGCAGGGGTTCAGAAATGTCAACATCCCCATTCCAGATGCAGAAACTGGGTCAAAGAGGTGAAGTGACTCATACAAATTTATGTCCAGTAAGTGGCTGAGCTGGGACTTGAACCCAGATCTGAGTCTTAAAACCCAAGCTCCATCTACTCTGGGACCCTGTAGGGTCAGGGTCAATTAGTAGGGAAGGAAAGGTTATGGACCTGACATCTACCTGCTGAGGTCAAAGTTAAAATGCTGTACCTATCTTAAGGTGGAAGTGGAAAGGAGGCCAGGAAGGTGAGCAGAGCTGGACCTGGAAAGATAGGTCTGATTGGGATGGGACTCAGGTGGCGGAGAATCTATGCCTGGGGAAACTTTTTGTAGATTTGGGAAGCAGGTGGGGAGGGAGCACAGCACACTCCGACACATGTGGGGAAGGCCAAGTGGCAGTGTAGGCAGAGAAGATTCCAAGCTATTCCCATTTGGTGGCTATTGCATCTGGGCCTCCGTGTGAAAAGTGGCTTGACACGAGAGAAGATAGAAATACAGGCTAGCTATTTCATCCAAGACAGGAGGCAAGTGGCTAGAAAATTGTATGTTGGAGGGCCATCTGATGACAGGGTAGCCAGTATTATCTACATCAGTGCCTTGTCCCAGGCCTGCAAACCTCTGGCCTATGTTCACTCCTCATTTCCAGCTTCCTCAGAAACACTTTGGGGTGGGATGTTGGTCAGCTCCTACTGGGGGAACAGACACAGAAAAGGCACTCACATATGATCACAGCTAGCACCCCGACCCCATGCTCATTCTCCATATCTAGGGTCCAAGTGGAAAAAGGACAAACTGGCCAACCTGGGAGCCAGCATATCTGGTCCTGGTACCCTTTTCCAGTCCTCAGGCCTGACCTGTAGCCTGCTGCTCAGGCCATACTGCCCATGTTCCCCACCTCCTCTGGTGTAAGTGAGCTCTGCCTAATAGCCCAGCCCCCACAGGTGCTCTGATGAGGTGACCCGCCAGCTCAGGGCCACAGCTGCCCACAAGATAGGGCGAGACGGAATTGTGGCCACAAGGCTCTGCACCCACCAGGATGACGTGGCCCTCACCAATGAGAAACGGCTGCAGGAGCTGCCAGGTAATTAGAGATCCAGGACTAGGTAAGACCAGCTGGGAGGGGTCATCAGGCAGGTGTGGCCCCCAGGCAGCCTGGGCTTTTAGGATCATTTGGGTATCCAGGGTCTCAACCTCTGTGACCATAAAGGCCCTTACATTTGCAGATGTAACTGTGATCTTAAGAGGTTGGGCAAACTGATTCCAAAGCACCCACTTAGGTCTGAGCGGCCTATCTCCCATACCATGGTCTAATATGTGGTTTTAGAAGCTGAGCCACAAGTCAATGATTCATAATCCTGTTTTTCCATCTCTCTTTTTCCAGGTGAGGTACATAGCTTTGAGGCTATGGATAGCAACCCTGAGTTAGCCAGGACCCTGGATGCCCAGTGTCCTGTTGGTCGGCTCCTTCAGCTAAAGCTGGGGGCCCAGGTGAGTAGGAAACTAGGTCTAGACCCTGGCAATCTGGACTATCTTGTATGAGCCTCCCCAATCCCTCTGCCCAGGCCATTCTGTAGGCAGTGCACCAGCTGTGACCTCACAAAAACCTCCATCTGGTTTCCACCTACCTTTCTACCTTCAGTTTTCCACTGCCCTCCTTGTCTTAACTCCTGGAGGTCCTCCAAGTAATGTCACTTTGGGCAAGTCCGTTCCCTTTGCTGAAGCTCAGTTGCCTTGTTTCTAAAATGGGGGTTGAAACACCTCCCTCCTGGCTGTCTTTAGTCGTGTACCTTATAGATGGCTGAGTCCTCATCCCTCCCATAACAGTGGGGTGAGCAGAATGGGAGACTTTCCTCTGGGCCCAGAGGGTACCCACAGGGAAAACAAAGGCACAGTGTGGCTGAGACCAGGGTGGCAGGAACAAGGGCCATCCCTCAAGATTTGTGGCCCCATAAGAGATCTGATCATTTCTGTAGCCCAGTGATATAGGTGACCTTACAGGCTTTACCTCTTCCTCCTGAGGCAAACTGAGCAAATGTATTCCCCTTTGACACAGGGGAAACTGAGATCCTGGGAATTAAGGCTGTCTGCCCCAGGGGTCAGAATTAGCTGGTGGCAGAGCTGAGGATTGGGACTGGGCACCCTTTGATGATAACCCCCTGCCCTTGGCCTCTGATAGTGACTGCTAGAGTTGATCCAGGTGTAAGGATGGGCCCTTTGCCACTTCTCTAGTCCTCCTTCCCCTCAGGTGATGCTGGTGAAGAATTTAGCTGTGTCCAGGGGCCTGGTGAACGGCGCCCGAGGTGTAGTAGTCGGGTTCGAGACTGAAGGGAGAGGTAAGTGATAGGGAAGGACAGTTGTGCTGTGTGGGTTTGCAGTAGGGCCTGGGGAAAGTGTGGGAGGAAAAGGCCAAAGACCTCTCCTCTCAGCCATGAAGCAGGACTAAAAGGTGGGACTTCTCTGTGCCTTCCTCAGGGCTGCCCCGAGTGCGCTTCCTGTGTGGAGTCACTGAGGTCATCCATGCTGACCGTTGGACAGTTCAGGCCACTGGGGGCCAGCTCCTCAGTCGCCAGCAGCTGCCCCTCCAGCTGGCCTGGGCGATATCCATCCACAAGAGCCAGGTGACCACTCAGTGAGGGAGTGGGGACAGAGCAGGGCAGAGAGTAGACAGCATATACCTGGGACATGTTAGGTTGTGTGCCTTGAAGGCCTTATAGCCTATGACCTAAATGGAAAGTTCCAGATCAGGAGTAGAATAAACCTTCTTCCTCACTGTCCTCAGAATAGACCTTTCTTTAGTAGATTTCGCAGCCCTTCTCCAGGGAAGGATATAAGTCACTTCCTTTTTGCTTTTTCCATTTGCTGAGCCACTACCAGATACATTAATCCCTACAAAAACAGTAAGAAGTTGGGTACTGCGGCTCATGCCTATAATCTCAGTGACTTGGGAGGCAGGAGGATCCCAAGTTCAAGGGCAGCCTCAGCAATTTAGCAGGGACCTAAGCAATTTAGCAAGACCCTATCTCAAAAAATAAAAAGGGCTGGGGATGTGACTCAGTGGTAAAGCACCCCTGGGTTAAAACCCTAGTACAAAAAAAAAAAAAAAAACACCAAACTATATAAAGTACATGTAATTAATAATCATTCCCCTTTCTCAGAGAAGAACACTAAGGGACTAAGGAACTTGTCCAAGGTCACACAGCTAGGGAGTGTCAGAGCCAGGATTCAGTTTCACATCTGGGTGACCTAGAGCCTGAGCTCTTTCCTTTCACCCCCCCCCACACACACTTCTTACCCTGAATCCATCCATGTCCCCCTGTATTCAGACCCCGTCTGCAGTTAGGCTTTCCCTCTGCTGGAGCCTCTCTGGACTGAGTGAGGAGATCTGGGGGCAGTCACTGGGCTGGTGAAGGATCAGCTCTTGGGTGCAGGGGACTCCAGACTAAACTGTCTCTCTCTGTCTCTCCATCCCCCAGGGCATGTCTCTAGATTGTGTGGAGATCTCTCTGGGACGTGTGTTTGCCAGCGGTCAAGCCTATGTGGCCCTTTCCCGGGCCCGCAGCCTACAGGGCCTGCGTGTACTAGACTTTGACCCCATGGTGGTTCACTGTGACCCCCGTGTGCTGCACTACTATGCCACCCTGCGGCGGAGCAGAGACCTCCATCTGGTAAGAGGGAATCAACCACTGGAGGCTGAGGCAGGAGAATGGCAAGTTTGAGGCCAGCCTGGACAACTCAGCCAGACCCTGTCTCAAATCTTTTTAAAAAGGGCTGGGGGTATATCTCAGTAGTGGAGCACTTGCCTAGCATGCACTGGACCCTGGGTTCAATCCCCAACACTATTAAAAAAAAAAAAAAAGAGTCACCTAGTGGTGGGCCTGTGACTTTGGCAGGCTGGGACAGAGGGAAGGCCCAATAGAACCCTGGGATGGCAGAGCCCTCTACTGGCTCTTTTGGGGATGGAGGTAGGAGGAAATAAATGCTGGCCCCCCAGGCTATGGCCTAGAGAACAGGAAAAGCTTGTGACTGGCCTTTTTGGCTCTGATTCAGGAGTCTCCAAATGATGAAGATGCAGCCTCGGACCAGGAGAACATGGACCCAAACCTCTGAGCCTCTGCTGTAAAAAGAAGACAAAGAATGATCTCCACAACTTGCAGCTCCCTAGTGGACCAAGGCCCCAAGGAATAACTGGTGGAGGAGACCAGTGTTCCTCTGTCCCTTCTTGGGGGTTCTCAGCCTCCTTGCAGGACTAAAGGAAGAGTGCCTCCCACTCACTTACCAGCTGTGCCACAATTTCTCCTGTTTGTCCTGGGTAAGCTCCTTCCATGATCAGAAGTAACCTTTTTTGTGCCAGTTGGGAATGGGTCCAATGGTGTCGGAGGTCAAAGCTCTCAGCAAGGGATGGACATAGAGCCAAAGAGTCCTGAATGCTTCTCCCTCTAGGTTGCAGAAGAGAGAAGCAGGAAAGACAGAGGCTTAAGGGAGCAGCATCAGGCCTCTCCAGCTGGGACTGCCTTAGTCCGTTTTGTATTGTTATAACAAAATACCTAAGGGTGAGATACTTCATAAAGAAAAGAGGTTTGTTGGTGGACATGATAGTGCACACCTATAATCCCAGTGACTCTGGAAGCTGAAGTAGGAGGATTGCAAGTTCAAGGCCAGCCTCAGCAACTAAGCAAGACCCTAAGCAATTTAGCAAAACCCTGTCTCAAAATAAGAAAAACTTTAAAAGGGGGTAGGGATGTGGCTCAGTGGTTAAGCACCCCGGGTTCAATCTCTAGTAGCAAAAAAAAAGAAAGAAAGGAAGGAAGGAAGAAAAAGAGAGAGAGAGGGAGGTTTGTTTAACCCACAGTTCTGGGGGCTCAAGAGCATGTAGCCAGCATCCACTCAGCTCTGGTGTGTCCTCATGGCAGATGGTATCAAATGGCAGAAGCACACATGATCATATGGCATGTGAAACAAGAAGCAAGAGATGGTCCAGGTGAGGTGGGCACCTATAATCTCAGGGACACAGGAGGCTGACCTAGCACCTGGATTGTGTGGAGATCTCTCTAGGCCGTGTGTTTGCTAGTAGTCAAGCTTGTGTCATGTTTCCCAGGCCTACAGGATGATCGCAAATTCGAGGCCAGCTTCAGCAACTTGGCAACACCCTGACTCAAAAGATAAAAAAAAAAAGGACTGAAGGTATGGCTCAGTGGTAAAGCACTCCTGGGTTCAACCCCAGTACCAAAAAATTAAAAAATGAAAAAAGAAGATGAAGCCAGAAATGGGGAAGGGTCTGGCTTGCTCTTTTCATAACAACTACTCTGGACAGAACTAATCCCCTCCTTCCACACCTGATACTCCTGTAGGACAGCATTAATCTACTGTGTGAGGACAGCGCCCCCATGACTTAATTACCTTCTGTTGGACCTCACAACTTAAAGATTTAAAGGTTACATCACCTCAGTACCACCACACTGGAGACCAAACTTCCAGTATATAAATCTGGAGAGGACCTGGAGGAGACTCACACCAGGTACAGGACCAAGAGAGAGAACAAACCTGAGTTATCCCACAGCTGGGGTCAGCCTAGCACAACCCAGAGCAAACAACCTTCTGAGCCTAACCTGAGAACATATGCTGCAAACGTGTGCCCGTGTTTTATATATTATATACATGGGCACATATGTTTATATATATATATATATATATATATATATATATATATATATATACATATATTAATTTTAGTTGTAGATGGATATTGTAGTTACAATTTTATTTATTTTTATCTTTATGTGGTGCTGAAAATTGAACCCAGTACCTCATGTGGTAGGCAAGCACTCTACCACTGAGCCACAACCCCAGCCTCCTGTGTGCCCATATCTTAAGCTGCTTTTTTTTGGGGGGGGGATAGTGTTCTGGGGCACTGAAATGATTGTTCCCAGGTTGTATTTATTTAGGACAAATAAACCTGTGATTGTGTAAGCTCTGCACCTCCTGTCTCATTTCCCACCACTGTGAACATGCACACAGAGGTGTTTGCTCACGTCACAAGGGCCTGGATTGTGTGTATTTGTATGTAAAGTTTTGTTAATATCATTGGTCATTTGGGAAGCTGAGTTATTTGAGGCTGGTGACTAACAATAAAATGACAAAATGAATCACCATCACCCAGTAGTCAGACAGGAACACACTACAGCATATCTGTTTGGGCCCTGCTAGAACTCTGGATTTATATCCTGATGGGGAAAAAATCATCAGTAAACTACCTGCAGTTCATGAAGAAGCATGATGGAAGCTGCTCAGGGGTCCTCACAGGCTAGCTAGAACTGGTGCGGTTCTCTGCTTATGAAAGAAAAGTATCAATTCTGGGTGGAAAATATGGGCTATAATAGAAGCATGCATCAGCCACTAGAAGTGTCTTTCACTAATAAAAGAGAGCAATAGCTACTTAAGTGTAAAATCACCACTAGGCATGGTGGTGCACACCTATAATCCCAATGGCTCAGGAGGCTGAGGCAGATGGATCCAAGTTTAAAGCTAGCCTTAGCAACTTAATGAGGTCCTGTCTCTAAATAAAATATATAAAAGGGCTGGGAATGTGGCTCAGTGGTTAAGCACCCCTGGGTTCAATCTCAGGTACCAAAGAAAAGTAAATTTACCAATGATGGGAGAAGTAGAGAATAATAAAATCATGTTGGTTGCTGGAAGCCACAAAATCTAGGTGCTCAGAGGCTCTTATTGCTGTCTCCCAAAAGCCAGCAGGGGCCAGGTACAGTGGCACATGCCTGTAATCCCAGCAGCTTCAGAGGCTAAGGCAGGAGGATAGAGAGTTCAAAGCCAGCCTCAGCAACTTAATGAGGCCCTAAGCAACTCAGTGAGATCCTGTCTCTAAATAAAATACAAAATGTGGCTGGGGATGTGGATCAGTGATTAGATGCCCCTGAGTTCAATCCCTGGTACTGGCCCCCACACACACACACAAAAAAGAGCCAGCAGAGGTCCTAGTACACAGAGGGTAGGTGCTGAGGAAGTGACTGGCTAAATGGTGAAGGCTACTGACATGGGGGCTCAGTGCTGTGGTGGTTCAGAGAGGTTATAGGGCTCCTACCTTACTGGAAGTTCTGTGGAAAGAGTAGGGCAAAGCCCATGGGAATGACCGATGGTTTTAGCTCAGGAGACAGACCTGGCTTTCCTTCCTGATTTTGCCACTCACCAGCTACGTGAGTTTAGCTGCTGCACAACCTCTAGAGTCCTTCCTCATCTGTAAGGTGCAGTGCTGACTGTTCTTTCACATAGGAGTTTTAGACAGACCAGCCAGGAGCTGGGGGTATAGCTCAGTGGTAGAGTGCTTGCCTACATGCCTGAGGCCTGGGGTTCAATCCCAGCACTGCCAAAATAAATAAATAAATAAATAAATAAATAAATAAATAAAGCCAACTATTTGGCAGGACTCCATCAATAGCCATCACTAATATTTATAATCACTATTGAACATTTCTGTGAAGTGTGAAGTTTGTAGAGCATAACTGTCTAGTTTCTACACAGCCTCTTTTTTTTTTTTTTTTTGTACCAGGGATTGAATACAAAGTCATTATTAAACAATAAGCCACATACCCAGCTCCTTTTTTATGTTTTATTTTGAGATAGGGTCTCACTAAACCCTGAATCTTCCCTAAATTGCTAAGGTTGATCTCAAACTTGTAATCCTCCTGCCTCAGCCTCCCAAGTCCCTGGGATTACAGGCATGTACCATTACATCTGGCCCCAGGGGCACTTTTATCATGGAGTTATGTCCCCAGTCCTTAATTTTTGTTTTTTTTGCTACTGGGGATTGAACCTAGGAAAACTTCATCACTGAACTACATCTTCAGTCCTTTTCATTTATTTTGAGCCAGGGTCTCACTAAATTGCCGAAATTGGTCTCAAACTTTCAATCCTCCTGCCTCAGCCTTCCAAGTCCCTGGGATTACAGGCCTGCACCACCACATCTGGCTACATAGCCCCATTGGCAGAAAGGATATAGCACTCAGAAGAGCGCCAACCTGGCCATGGGAACCCATGGCCATCTGGCTCTTGTCTCCAACCTTGAAGAGTTGAATGTTTTTCTGTGGCACGATCCCTTTTCTCTGCCCTGAGTGGAAGACACTGAAGAATTAGAAGCTGCTGGGAACGGATGGTACACAACTGTAATCCTAGCCACTCAGGAGGCTGAGGCAGAAGGATTGAAAAATTGAGGACAGCCTCAGCAAATTAGTGAGGCCCTAAGCAACTTAGCAAGACCCTATCTCAGAATAAGAAATAAAAAGGGCTGGGGATGGGGCTGGGATTGTGGCTCAGTGGTAGAGCGCTCGCCTAGCATGGGTGGGACCCGGGTTCAATCCTCAGCACCCCATAAAAAAATTTTTAAAAATGCATTGTATTGTGTCCATCTACACCTAAATATTAAAAAAAAAAAAAAGGCTGGGGATGTAGCTCATGGTTAAGCGCTCCTGAGTTCAATCCCCAGTACCTAAATAAATAAGTAAAAATAAAAGCTGGGTGTGGTGGCACACGATTGAAATCCCAGAAGCTAAGGAGGCTGAGGCAAGAGGATCACAAGTTCAAAGCCAGCAACTTAGTGAGGCCCTAAGAAACTTAGTGAGACCTGTCTCAAAAAATTTTTTAAAAAAGTTAGGGATGTGGCTTAGTAATTAATCACCCCTTGGTTCAATCCCTGGTACCAATAAATAAATAAATAAATAAAGGCTGGCTGCTGGGGATGTAGCTCAGTGGTAAAGCATTCCTGAGTTCAATCCCCCGTACCAAAAAAAAAAAAAAAAAAAAAGAAGCAGAAAAGCCAAGCTCATTAGGATGACCCCACCAACCATTGGGCAACCATAAGGGTAGATATTTATTTATTTATTTATTTATTTATCTTTGCAGTGCTGGGGACTAAACCCAGGGATGTTCTACCACTGAGCTACATTACCAGCCCTTTTTACTTTTTATTTTGACATGAGGCCTCCTAAATTGCTCAGACTGGCCTTGAACTTGTGATCCTCCTACCTGAACCTCCAGAGTAGCTGGAATTATAGGCATGTGCCATTTATGTGTCAGGATGTTCCTAATCTGCCCAAACAACATGGTGTTCC